GTTAGACCATTGACCACGCGTCCTCGAGAGGACGGAGCATTGTTCCCACAGGACCGATCACCGATGGCCAATCGTTCCTTTCTACTTTGCCAAAGGTGGCTCAAAAATGTCTTCCCTAGTCTGTCTATCCTAACGATATCCCTTCCCGCCTTCTCAACCCACCTGCTATGCCCGACTACAGCTACTGGCCTTTCCTCTCTATTCCATGCCTCAAACATCTCCCTGTACGTCCCATCTATTTTTCCCAGCTCAGTCACGTACACTTCCCTCTCTTTCTTGTACATCGGACATTCGGCGACTACATGAACACGGTCTTCGCATTCGAAGCCGCAATCACATTTGAACTCGTCGTCTTCCTCGTCTACCGTCCTATGTCTTCGTCGACGTTCTCGAAGGCCTACTACGTCCCCGGTCCTGAATTTGACCTTGAGCTTTGTTCCTGCATCCATTGGTCCATGTAGGTAGTCCTTGAACCCTATTCCTTCCTTCAACATTCCGTACACTTCTAGACCCTCCTTATCCTTGGATTCTTTCCTCAGATTCTGTTCTTCTCTCTCGGCACAAGCAACNAGGTATGTGTACTGGTCCACTACTGCAATCTCCTCGATCCCCCACTTCCATCTATGTTCTACTGGTACACCGGGGGGGGGTAGATTAATTGAACTTGGAGAAATCGTACTTCCCCTCTTGAAGCCTAAATTGGCTGAAACTTGTCGTGATAGCCTGACACTGAGGTGGAATACTTGTATCGGGTATTTCCATCGTATCTTGGGGTAGGAATGGTGTATCCAGTGGATCTACATGCGCAACGTGCAAGAGGGTGCGTTCGGACCCAAGGCGTGGACTCTCCCGATATTTGAATTTTGGACACACCATGCTTATCCCCTGCCACACATAATCACCTCAAACCTTTTGCATTACGTGGCAATACAACCTAGGTACATGGCGGCAGCATAATTAGGCTGCAAAACAACTACCTCGCGCAGAGGTCGGTTCGTGTGTGAAGCTCCCTCCCGCATCTTGGAGCTGCTGCATGGTGGTACGCTCTAGCTAAAGTCCAACTTTTTCGCCCTACCGTGCGTAACTGGACATATAAATCATACCCTAATGTGCCCTGGCATCTTGCTTACACAACTCTGTTGAAAACTGGACAGTTTAGCCTTACGTTCGCCTTCTCAAGCCGGTGCTAGGTGCGGAGGTCTGTTGCCGAGTGAGCCGCCTGANCATCTTGGAGCTGCTGCATGGTGGTACGCTCTAGCTAAAGTCCAACTTTTTCGCCCTACCGTGCGTAACTGGACATATAAATCATACCCTAATGTGCCCTGGCATCTTGCTTACACAACTCTGTTGAAAACTGGACAGTTTAGCCTTACGTTCGCCTTCTCAAGCCGGTGCTAGGTGCGGAGGTCTGTTGCCGAGTGAGCCGCCTGATCATAAGGGTTTCCACAGGGGTTGCTTTCCCGTTGGAAGCTTTTATTTGCCCACTCATTTTTTTTTTCCTCAGCCGCGCAGCACTGGGACTGGCAACAACTTCTGGGGTGTTGACTACTGTGCATGTAGGGATGGATCGAGCTTGGAAGATCCCATCCACAGGGATTTGTGGTACTGTACTTTGAAACAATAAAAATTTAGTGCACACCTCTGTCGAGGCTACCGCTCGCCAGCACTAATGACGTTGATCCAAGCCTTCATTCTCGTCTCCATGCATACACGGCGGCATGACCAACAGCAGTGCATTCCCTTCCTTGCTTCGCGCGCGGCCTCGACTCTTACCAACGTCGTGGAGGGTTGCCACAGAATAACTCCCAACACACGAAGAGTTTGCTGCAGGGTGATCCGCTGCACTCACCACGATCAGGTGGGGGTCAAGGAGCCGCCCGCCGCCATATCCTGTGGCCGTCTTGTTTTGCGCCGTCGTGTAGCGGTAAACTGATGATACCCTTAACCTCCATCCCTCGATAAGGCCCAATGAACCTGCCGCCCTGGGAGTTGAAACCAGCAACTTCTTTCTAAACGTTGTTGTTCCAAGTAGGAAGGAGCAGGCGCTTCAGCGGAAGCAGCCTTGTAGAAGACGGCGTATCTCGTCCCCACTATCCCCTCGCCGCGCGGCCTTACTTGCAATTCCCCGTGGCCCCTCCCGGGGTGCGCCTGCCGAACCAGGCAGTGGTGGCCCTGCACTCGGCCGTTCTGGGCGAAAATTTCCTCCTCAACTTGTCCGGTGGAAAGCCGGTAAGGTTTCTGTTGTCGGCAGATGATATCCATTAAATAGCTCAAGCGGCTGACATGGAATACATGCACCAATGATTCGTCGAGTGGTCTATATCGTACCTCAAGTTTTGTTGTAGCACTCGTGGTACTGAAGGGATAAGTCTGGCGGCTGCCGAGCAGCTGCTGCTGTCTTGCATTTGATTTTCAGGAATCGTCAGGCACGAACCGCGGGTGTCATCATGAAGGGAAACCGCGCGGGTCGGGGAAGAACTGTTGATGGGTTGTTCCGACTGAACCTTGTTCTGATTCATTTTTGTTCGGGTCGTGGCCTGACCTGCGGATCAGGTTTGGACGCGTGGAAAGACACGTACCGTACGCGGTTCAGATTCCGATATGTACTTCAAACGGAATCGTTTCTTGAGCTTGCACTTAACCCGTGCCTCTCGAAGTGTTTGTAGAAATGTTATCGTTGGCAATCACCGGGGGTTGGGGTACTCGCCATTGAGGCCATCGGGGCCCAGGAGGTGGTAGCGGAGCTCAAGGGCGAGGCCATCGATTTTGCTGTGCTGTGCCACGGCAGAGTCGATCCCTTCGCCCTGGAACTCGGTCATTACCTCCTGGGCCATGTTTCCTTGCGACGAACACTCCATTCCCCTGTGATTGTCAACGTTCTATTTTCCACAAGAGTTTCGCAAGGTACGAGTAAGGCCCGCGCGTGAGATGCACTGTGAGCGTGAGGGAACGATAGGCATAATATACCTTGAGTTGTCTCTCAAGGCTCCTACATCCTACACTCTGCGTAACGGAAAAGACGGAAGGGGAACGATGCAACTTGCTTACACGCGCGCTTTGGTTGAGAGTTTCGCCATCACCCAACTACCTGCTGTCTCTACCCTGCGGTACTTCCGTACTCCCCAAGCTTTCGTGTCTATGTTGCATGTTGTCGATTGGCAGAGCGTGCTATGCGTACACCTCAGCTGATGCTTCCAGGGCAATCTCTGTCCGTGCTTTGAAAAGCATTCGTGTAGAAGAAGAGCAACGTGGCGCCCCTTGTTATCCACGTACTTCGTTCTCCTTGGTCAGTTACGATCGTTTGAAGGACGGTGGCGACCCTGGCCCTTCCAACCAACTACTGAGTGGGTGTGTGAGTATTTCATATACTCGGACCCTGTCCGCCAACCATGGTTACTGGTGGTGTTCAGCGTGGCGCTGCTATTAGAATAGTGTATTCCTCTCGCCGAAGTGTACATGCGCTCGTCGCTTGTGTCCCTCTGTTGCTTTATGTCGCTGTGCTGTTTTATTTTACCTTCACAATGGTCTGTTTGCTGAAGTGTGGTGTCACTTGGGGAAGCTCGCCATCGCAACCAAACTGTTGACATCCTGTCGAACAGAGGTGATGTGAATACTAGCCTAACGTCTGCGTCTCGTCGGCGGTTACCCATGCTATGTTGGGCTTTGCGGTGGAGTGGGTTCGCCCATCGTTTTGTGAGGTAGAACGTGTGACCTCCTCCTTGCACTGTTTCATCACAGCTGGGTTGGTTGACGTGTTTCTCTGATTTTAGAACGAACTCCTTAACGTAAGTGTCAGTGAAGCGCAGTGCACAGGAATTGCAGAACGCCGGCATTCTGCTCCGAATAAACGGTCGTTCGCTGTGACTATGGTATCCGCAAACACTTTGAACATTTTGATTGTATGGAAATCGTCTCGGATAACTCGCTCTTCCTGTCTGCAACTTTCGTTTTGTTTGTATTTTTCCCATGCAGTACGTGACCCGATATCGTGGCAACTTGGATAGTGGGACTGCCGATATGGTGGCACCAAAATCTCTTGTCACAATCTCAACATGTACAAGATGCTGAACCCGATATATCCTTGAATAGTGGCATTTTCTCCTCTTGCCCTTACATGCCACTATATTGGGCCACCTACTGTACGTGCATTGGCTTTCGAAGCGTGAGGCATCTTGTCGTGGTGATGTAGTGTCCACGTTGGAAAACAGTGTTGACCCATTATGAGAAAAGGTAGTAGTATTTGCGCTCATGGTCGTTGTTACAACGAATTGTGACTTTGCCCTGCCCCGCCCTGCCCGCGCCCCAACCCACCCGTGCACCTGTCGACACTGGTTGCATTTCGTCGGTTATCGTCTTTCACCACTGCTATAGCGCAGCCTGTGTCCCTGTCGGCCCGGCTCCTTCGCCGAAACCGGAGTTTCATGGGCACATACAGAACAGTCTGACAAGACAGACGTTGGCTGCCTGTCAGCAAGGAAGCCGATGTCTGCCCTGTGAGGCTGTTCCTCGTGTGCGCGTGGAAGTGCGGTTCCGGTGAAGGAGCCGGGCCGAGAGGCACACAGACCTTGCTCTTGCATGGTCGAAACACGACCACGCTTGATGAACTGTAACCAGTGTCGACAGGTGCATTTGGATGAGTCATGCATAGCTCACGGTGTTGCTTTCCAATTGTTCATCAACCCCTTGACATGGCGCTGACCGGATCTGTCCCCTCCTCAACCATTAACGCTGTTGATGGGTGAGCGCTACACACCAACTTTTGCGGTGCGGCGCATTGCCTTCATCTTCAATGGTAGCACCTTTGTCGGCGTTGTTGCTGATTAGGATGCTGCTGTTGTTGTTGATGATGTTGTCTTCAAGCAATAAAACTTTTTTATGTCTATGCAAGACCTCCGCGTGCATACTCGTGAAGGCCAAGAAACGACACAAGCAAGATTTCAAGCGTGTGGTCAAGGTCACAGACCCCAACGAAGGGTGGGTGATTGACAAGAAAT